TGCTTGGGAGCAAATCGCCTGCAACCCCAGCTGCAGTGCTCGCACCTGGCTGGATGACGCCTGCGTCAGCAGCTGTGGCGACGTCGGTCCAGCGATCCCATGGGATGCGACTCGGTTCGGTTCTTCCCCACCTCCCCAGCTGTGACGATCCGGTACTCCTTGGTGTTCCATGGACGGGAAAGGAATGGAAGAACGACATAGCGACCAAGGAGACGAAAAAGAAGGCGACCCAATTCGGAACGTCCGTACCATTCGATTCACGATTCTCTTACGGTCCTTCTCCAGCTGTGGATCTCGAGATACACACGTTGCAACCTGCAGTGAAGTGGTCATCAGCGGCGATATCGTGTGGAGACACAACAGCGATCTGGTCCGATCGGATGGGCTTGAAAGATTGACCGGATCATACTGGAGCACATGCTGAGTCAGTTGCACGACCATCCTGTGAAAAAAGCAGCATGCCACTCCTGAGCATGAAGTGATGATTCCGCTCGTTCATGATGATTGCAACTGGAAACTCTTTTTAAAAAAGAAAACACTTAAAAACATCATATAAATAGTGACATCAATATGACCACGAAATACATTGAATCTATAAGTACTAGCCCCTAGATCTTCCCAAGAGCCGAGCGAGGCCACGTCCAGGACATCGGCAGCATCCAGCTTGCTGAGCTGACGCCTCTGCCCCCGTAGACATCGCCGCTCAGCCCGGCGCGAGACATCGGCGATGCGCGTCGCGCCGCTCAGCCCGGCGCGGATCATGTCGAGTCCGACAACTTCTGGCTCGGTTCTCTGGCACCTACGGATCGAAGGGAAAAGCTGACGACCCAGTCCGGTTTTTCAGCGTTTTTTTGGTGGTGGACTTTTTCCAAGTTAATCATATGATATCATATGTATGATTTGTTTATGGATGTTTAATGACTTTTATGGATAAATCTTTATATGGTGTTTTCATGCGAAGGGAAGTTTCCTGACCAAACCTGCACGCCTCTGCACAGTTGAAACCCTTCGTCCCAAACGGTTCCCGTGCGTCGCACGGTTCCCGCGCACCAGCAGCTTTCGCGCCAGAGGGACTCCAGGAGCCGCTCGGCAGCTGGCGTAGTGCATGGGCTTGTGAAGCCTTTGTGAAGTCTTTTGTGAAGTCTTTCCGAGAGTCGAACGAGAGTCGAACTGACTTTAAGTGGAGCACATGAGGGTGACCTTCTGCGCCTGACTTGATCCAATGGATCTTCCAAGAAAAACAACATGCATGTGATATGTTGCTGAAACATGCTGAAACTATACTATTTACATCTATTTACGCTATGCCGGTCTTAAATCGAATGAACATGGCTCCGGCCTGCATCCGTTTTGCTCGTGGGCTCAGTTCAATTGCGGCATCACTGGCGACAAGGACCTCGAAGCTGTTCTCTGGCTCTAGCACGACAACGACCAGTCTACGACAAACCCAGTCTACGACAAACGTCCTTTGGATCACTTTGCAGTCGCTGATTTGAAGCAACTGAACACCTCTGATTCACCCACATCATGCCAAATAGTTCCGTGCATCTCCAAACTTGCCTTGACCCGACTCACATAGACTCTAGACCCCTCTCAGTCTCCCAACGGCTGCACTTTGGGCCGGCTGCCCCTCCACCAGAATCTGTCCCAAGCCTCGGCCCGGTCGATGCCGTGGCCGGTCGAGGCGGAGCGGCCCGGGCGCGGCCCCCGCCGCGGACCGGGGCACCCTGAGCCTCGCTCGGGCATAGCGGACTGCCTCGTTGCGGCTGCAGAGACCTAGCCTGAGAAGTGGCAGTTGATGGCGGTCTGTCTCCAGTTGCGGTTGGGGGGGGTTGTGGGGGGGGTTGGGTTGCGAAACATGCAAAAGTGATAGAAAATGCTGGCTCACCTGGCACACAAGACTCCAAGACGGTCCACCTGCACGAGTGAGGATTGAGGAAGTAGCACTCTACACTTGGCATTCCATGCTTTAAAGATAGAGGGTCAGAATAGTGGAAGAACGAAGCAAAAGACTCAGTGCACCTTCATCTGCCATCTGCCAAACGTGAGATGTTCATCGGAGGATAAATCGATCTGCTTCTGCAGGCTCTGTGAGTCGGTACTGCTTTCTCCCTGTCAAAGCTTGGATCTAGAGGGTTGAAACTCAACTGTTGCAGCGTCCACATCAAACTTGGTGGCGGGCCGGGGATGGTTCTGGTGTTTTTTCATTGGATGGACTATGCCGCCCGCTCTAATGATCCTTCTGATGGAATCATCATTCTTGACTTCTTGAATCTACACGTTTACCCCATCACTGGTTTGTGTGGGCAGTGCAAGTTTTTTGCTATTCCTCTACTACACGCGGGACACGGGCCAAAAGGCTAGCGACCGTCACAAGCGATGTTCAGCAATTTTAGGGAAGCAGCTCTCGCTGACGAGGAAGCACCATCTCAGTTTGAGCTGAAGCAGGTTTCAAAAGTGAATTGGACTCCCGAAGTGTCAAAGAGTGATCTGATCATTATGTGATATATCTTTCATCGATGGTCTGGTCTGACGCACATCTGTTCCAACGCCGGCGCCTTGGGCAAGGCCTACATGGCTAAGACTATGGCTAAGGCATGATGAATTTCATTGCAAAGAGGCATTCTTTTGGGGATGTTTCACCCAGTGCCTCCAAAAAAAACTGATTAAAAAAGCGATTGGATCCATGCTGGCAACTCATCCCAAGCTATCTCACCCTCACGAAATGGCTCTGGTAAACCTCGTCGTGTGACGAGAATCTCCCTGGCGTCGTGTTCGTTCACGGTGAAGGACTCACCAATGGATTTGGGCAACAAATCCCTTGATGCCTGGCCTTGGATGGGATGTCTTTCCTGAAGCCAACGAAGCAAACACTCATTCACAGCTTCCGGAGTTTCGAAGTGCGGGCAATGCCCACTGGGCGACAATTGCAAATAATCAGCGACCCCAGTCGCCGCCACTTTGAACGCCCGCGCACCCCAGTAGGGAACAATCCATGGATCTTCACGCCCATACAAGAGAAGGACAGGAATCTGGTCCGCGACAACCTTGCCCAAGGCTTCATCAAAAGTCAAGTCCGCCTGTGGCGTAAAAACGATCTGAGCAAAGGCCGCCGCTCCTGCCGGATGATCTGCCATGGCGGCAATTCGTTCCGGCAATTCATGTCCAACACCGCTCGGATTCGAGGTCACAAAGTTCAACAGCCACTCGATGGAATCCGGATTGCGCAAGGTGTTGTACCAGTTGAGGGCGAAATTTCTCACATTCTCTGGGATGGGTAGCCGGCCTTTCCATGGAAATGTCTCATAAAGGGATGGATTTTTGCTCTTATTGGGAATCCAACCCCAAAAGGGCGTGGCATTGATGAGTGCTACACCTTCAATTCGCGCCACCGTTTCCGGGCTCATCGATGCCGTGGCCAGAACCGCCAAGTACCCCCCCAAGGAGTTGCCCGCCAGAATCACCTTGCTCTCGGTGACGAATTCCGAGATGAAATCGGCGATTTGCTTCACCCACAAGGACTCTCCAATCACCAACTCCTCAAAGCCCTTTTCCGCTGCTGGGCCAAATCCCCATTGACTTCCAGGACGTTCTCGCAACTCCTCCGGACCACCAGGGGCAATATCGACCTCTGGCCACGAGAGGCCAGCACCCACATGATCGATGGCATAGACCGAGTACCCGGCGTCACTCAAGGGCAGGAATTGAGACTCGTAGTGGAAGGAAGCTACGCCAAAGCCATGCAGCAACACGACTGCAACGTCACTGGGTATCTTTGACTCAGCCTTTGCATAGTGAACGGTCAAAGGAATGCTCGGAACTCCATCTTCTTTCCATTTCCACTTCCAAAACTTACTCTCTGCATTCCGTGGTTGCATCAAGTCCTCTCTACCATTCTTCCGACTCTTCCTCTGGACTTTCACGCTCCATGGCCGCCGAAGGCCACGCAGAGCTGCACGTGATGAGGCAGCTATTAGAAGACTCGCAGCGGGCGTCAGCCTGGGGAGGGGGACTGGGCTTTGACAAAGCTTCGATTGCCTGATCCCACTGCGTCAAACGTCTTGTTGCTTGGTTCAATCTTCCTTCTTGAGTTTCAAACCGGTGAGCTTCTAATGTCCATGTTCATAAGGTTGGAGGGTAGATGGTGATTATAGGCTCTATGGATCATGCCTTTGTGATGTTTGAACAAAACATTTAAACCACAGCTCCTGCGCAGGCTCTTTCCGCCTCCTCCTTGGGTTGGGAAAAAGGGCCTGCTGCTGAGTGGATATGCAACAGACTTCCTGGGAAACACCCACTCGGCACTAAGAGCCATCCTGCATGGCCTGTTGTTCACGGGGCGGATCCGTTGTCTTGTCCTAAAACACGATGCCTTGCCTAGACCGATGTACTTGGGGTGTGTGATTCTGAGATCATGTGGCTGTCTAATCATATCATGTCATATGCAACTTCAAGAGATTTAAGATCAATTTAAGATATGCCCACGTGTGAGCTGTGCTGAAGGCGCAAGTCCCCTCTGTGCAGGGCATCTCCCTCTGTGCAATGGATTAGAAGACTTCCAGCTGCAGTCCACAAACGGCAGAATCAAAGAAATCACCAGGAATGCACTCTAAGTCCTGGGAAGACAGTACATCAGCAGGTATATACCTAACATTCACATCCGCTCGTGTGAATTTCGCAGGGAGCCATGAGGACGCTCAGCCATTCATATATCGATTTGATACACAACCCGCCCTTGAATTTGGTGTGTTGATGTTTACTAACAATATGAAAAGCCTACAGCTTCTTAGCAACGACTTTGGGCATCGGAACAGTTGTCGCATTCTGCGCAGTTGTCGCATTCCACAGGCACCTTGTGATTACCTACTGCACTCTGTGGTCATGTTCGCCTGGGGGGCTCAGAATCTGCCTTTCTCACATGTTATGTGACTCTGGAACACTCTCAGGCATCGGTTGCTCTCCAACTTGAAAGTGCGCAAGCTTGGATCAAATAGGCGAACTTTTGGCTCGGCTTTGCCCAGCACTCTTTGCAGGACGTGGGGCCCATCTCAAGGAAACAAACAGCCACACTCAAGCTCCACTCGAGCTTTTTGACCCACAGTCTTCTCTGTGGGAAGATTAGAGATCCCAAAAAAGTGGTCCAACTTTCAAGCAAACGCTTGAACTTTGGCAGCACGCCTTTGCCGAGCTACCAACTATGGACACAGGAGGGTTCCCTCTTCTCATCTCCCTAGGATGCCTGAACAGGAACAGTGGAAAGCATGTTCCAACAGATTCTTGACGTCTGAAGACATTGAACATGTTAGAAATGAAAAAACGCGTCCTGCCTCTTCACACAGGCCACAGTCTTTGATTTTCACCTCAGCAAGCCCAAAAAAAATTGTTTTCGCCACAACCAGTAGAGCTGAAGTGAAAGCTGAGGGGGTCTGGTTCCTTCGTTCCTTATCATGTGTCACATGTTGTCAAATGTTGACAAACACGCAGTGTTGATATATTCATATGTGCACTACAAACACACCAACGCAAGGCAGGGTTTCCTGGCCAACATTCCAGGCATTCCATCGCCACTGCCCACCTTCTCGATGGCCTCGGCAAAAAGGAACGCGCAGTCCGCGTCGCACGCACGTCGCAAGCACACAGTCCACGCACGCAGCACGCACTGCACGGCCTTCACCACAGAGTAGCCTTTGACCACTTGTCCAAAGACCACATGAGCACCATCCAAATGGCTGGTCTGCACAGTGCAAAGGAAGAATTGGCTGCCATTGGTGTTCTTGCCTGCGAAAGTCATCCAGCGATGAACAAGCCACACCAGTGGAACTCTGAGCTGCCGAAGGCAGAACTTCCAGTGAGAAACAGCCAAGCCGGCGGTTTATGGCACCTGCATTGGCCATGGAAAGGATTCCTGGTCCTGTATGCTTGAGGTTGAAATTCTCATCCTCGAATTTCTCACCATAGATGGACTTGCCACCCGTTCCGTTTCCTCGGCGACGACGGCCATGCGAACGCGTCAGACGTCGTCCGGAGTCGGATCGATGGTCGTGCATCCAAGACGCCTTTGGTGAAGTCACCGCCCTGATAAAGCAAGAGCAGAGTTTGGTATCTTTTTTGTGGTCTTGCGGTGCTGCTCTTTGACGGGAATTGAGTTTGAAAAGCGGAAACCCGAAAGAATCCAAGAGAAGACCAAAGAAAAACAATCACCAAGTTTCTGCCTGGCACATGAACTGCGGAATGATGCGGTGGAACTTGGAACCTGGCAGGACCAAGGCAGTGCAGGAGATCTGCAGGAGATCTGCTTTCTCTTGGGTCAGGACCTTTGTAACCAAATCCCTTCTCTCCAGTGCACAAGGCCCGGAAATTTTCCGCCTCCAAGAGAGAAAAGAGAAGGGAGAACGTGGTATATATAGAACAAAGACTCTCACAATGCTGAGGAGCCAACAGTCTTTGGAACCTGATCAGCCTAAGCGATATTACATGCATAAAAGCCCGGGCTCATCCAAACAAACTAATAATTGCCCAAATATCACATCGAAGTCGTAGCTCGTCTCGAAAACGTCGTCTTTTCACGCCAAAATTTTTGAAGGCCGAGGGTCTTTCAATTCCACCTCAATTCTTCCAACCATCTTGCCATCCGCTTCAATGTCCATCCAACATCGCGGATTCGACGGATTCGCATCGCCTCCGGAGGTTCAAAAACATCGCCGAAACCACCACGGAGGGGCCAAACTGTGCTGAAAAACAGTCACGTCACGTCGTCACGTTTCAAAGCAACGCGGCCATGACCGCGTGCGTTCTGGCATCGACTTGGTGAGGCATCGACCCAAGGGTGGCTTGTAGTCTTGGTCGACCTTTGGGTCGACCGCCAGCGACTGACTGCAGCCCATGGTTGGCCGATTTTGAGCTCAAAAGGTGCTGTGATCGGCCACGGCGTGAACAGTCACTGCTCCAAAAATGACTCGGCAAGCAACCAGAAGGGGAGTCAGGAATAGTGATCCTGAGGGCTGATTAATTGCGGTTTCAGAGTAGATGGCACAGACTCAAAGATTGCCTTTATATAGGGGTCCATATAAACCACCTTTTGAGGATTGTCTGAAACCACTCTAGGAATGTATCTTGCTCTGTTGTTCGCAACTGCTTCATTGCTTCCTCCATTGTTTTGAGGGGAGGCAAGACAGAGAAGGCGAAAAAGAACGGCCAGTGAACAACGATGTAGAAGGAAACCGATGTAGAGAAAGGGTAGAGAAAGGAACAGGGTAGAGAAAGCTTCTCGATGAAGAGGGGCGTCTTTCCGAGCTCCCTTTTCACGGCAGCCCAATGGGCCGTGGCAGCTGCATAGCATCTACGATTCGTGCCTAGGACACCCACCAACATCAATCAAACACCATCAAACACCTGCAGAATATTGGGAACTATATCTATTTAGATAGTTAAAAGTTACATATGATAGGACTTCACACATGTCATCATGGTTGCTGATATAACAAATAAATACAATATATATATATATAATCATATATCTTATTTCACGCACGTGCGTTCACGGACCGTGTGTGGAAGTCTGTGTGTCATGTTCTCGGACCGAACTGCCATGAACTGCTGCCATGAAGGTGGTGTCCGGGACCGAGGCTCCTGCCACCACTTGCGAAGGAACCGTCATCATGCTGAACTGGTTGCAGAGGACCACGACCGTGATGGGCTTGGAGGCCTCATGTGAGCGGCTCGCAGCACTCAGGCACGGTTGAGTCGTAGAACCACAGGGTTCGGTGCACGTGGTTGGACATGGCAGCTTGGTGTTGGATGTTAGTGGATGCTTCGGTTTGGTCTATGGTAGGTTTACCTCCCAAACCCTAGAAACAAGGCCCGTTGTTCTTGAAATACCCGATGATGACGGTTCCTTCGTTCGACAGTCGCATCTAAGGTGCTTCTGCTGGCCATTGGATCGCATAGCCCAAAAGCCCACCGCAGCTCCCTGCACCTGGAACTGGTGAGAGGAGTTTGACCACGAACAACGCGTAGCAAGAAGATGCAAGAAGCAGTGGCTTTGCAATGTTTTGCCTTGCTTTCAGTGGCTTTCAGTAGTTTTCCCGTCTTGTGCAGTGGCTTTCAGAGGAGGATGAGGGGAGCTTGCGGCCAAAAATGTGATGCCAATGAAGCAAAAGGACTTGGTCAAACTCATCTGCATCACCAGGCGGGTGCTACGTGCATATTCCGAGAACGCATGAGTGTTCAGTACATCCTACCCCACTGAGTCTCACCATCACAAATGTGTTACACCTCACACTCTACTTATGTAAGTTTGAAATTGGACATAAGCAACTTACTGTAAGTTATATAATTTTTGTTTAAGTGGCCTTTCCAGGTGTTGCACATAACATATGCTGGAGGCCATGCAAACAGGTGTCCGCAGAGTGTTCAGCAGCAAACTCCAAATGGCAGCTCTACATCCCTTATTGTGATGCATGCCTCAAGAGGGATGGAGAACAGCCAAGCAAAGCTTGGACACAATACCCTGTGATACCCTGTGTACCAGTGATACATCAACCTGTGCAAGTGTTCTTCACATGACATGGTGTCAAAGCGCTTTGTATGAGGGTTTTATCGGTTTCTAGTTTCTAACGATAAATCTGATGAAATGCAATCTGCAAGATTTGCCAGCCCATTGTCAAGTCCTTTACTAAGTGGTATGCCTAAATGAGCTAATGTATGCTAATGATTGCAAATGTACTCTTTCCTTCATACCGCCTTCCTTTCTTCGGAATGTACATGTATACTTCATCTACTGACGCAGGGCACAAGCGATGATGACCCTGGGGTACCCACCCACAGCTGAGTGACTTGTGCCTTCGAGCTCAATCACCTGTGAGGTCGACCACATGCGAGAAGTATCCACTCAAGACTTAAAACCCAGGAAAGTGACTTCACACACAAAGGCTGGAACTGCCATCATAGTAAAAGAATATTTGCCAAACGTGTCTGCTCCCATACTTTGTATACTTGGACGATCTTGAACGGATGTCACTGACGTCACACTAAAATGGCGCACACTCTTGGTTTACATGACCGTTTCTCTGAAAGAATATATGACCGTGCCATATCATCTCGTCTCGTTGCTTTGACACCCGCAGAATCCCGACCTGGAACCCTCGCTCATCCCATGCTCGAGCCGGAGGAGCAAGCTGTGAGAAGAGGAAGCTCATCGGGTTACCTTCGCTGAGCGAAAACCATGCTGAGCCGCTGTGACTCTGCGAAGAAGCATAGTGAATCAAAGCAAATGTTTGATCAAGTGAGACAAACTATAACTGATTCACATTGATTGACCTGAAAGGTAAGGTTAAGTAGGATCCAACAAGTTGCAAGCAGCACCGCTGCAAGGAGGCCAAGCAAAATAAAAAGTTGCTTCATGTTGCTTCCTGCTACTAGTAGCTTCTTGCTACTAGTAGCGATGGCCTCCACCCTAGTAGCGATGGCCTCCAACCTATTAGCGTCCTTTGCTAGTTAGTTAGTTGCTTCATGTTGCTTCTATGACTCACAATAGTTGGTTTCGACATGTTTTGACGCTTCATCATCAATAAACACTGTCTGTGAATGCTAAATGCCCGGCTAGCATTGTCTCCCGGTTGTTCTCGTGCATGGATTTGCCTTGAGCATCGAACTTTCGAAGCACATCGGTTGTTTCTCTGGGCTTCCCCCACCTGCTGTCCTTCACTGGAGATGAAGATGCAAACACCTGAGACATTGATGCAAACACCGGAGATGAAGATACACCAACTGAACTTCCCACTCAATCGACTTGAGTATCTTGAGCGGATCTTCTTCAATTGTCATTCAGCAAGGCTCCGAGTAGCAAACCGCTGCCAGGCCTTGCATCAACCATCGAGAAGATTCGAAGAACTCTCTGATACTCTCCACCCAAAATGTCGACTCAGTCTCCAGCTTCTTGCTGATGCGGCACATGCGAGATCTGGGCACACCTGAGGAACCACACCCCCCGGCCATGCTCCACGCCCGCGCGGCTGGCCATGCTCTTCCACCTCCGCGGACCACTTCGCGGCGGCGTTGGCCAGACCCACATCCGCCAGAAGACCTCCAGCATCCTGGACGGACCAACCAACCGGTGTACAGTAGCCCAGTGGTGGTCCGGTCGAAGGAGAAGGTGGACCAGTGGAGCGGGGGGTCTGATGTGAGAGGAGTGGAGTCACAACCAGGAGACCAACTGGTTGACCTACGGAGGTCAAGCTAGACGCGGTGCCATGGCGCTTCATGGTGCGGTGTTGACCCATCCGAAGACGTTTCTTCGTCTCCCGGGTCTCCGTTGGGGTGACCGGTCCATCCCACGATTTGCCTCAAAAACACTCCGGGCAAGCGACATACCTGGCGCGTGTGAGGTGGTCTGAGTCTGCTCAAGAAAGTAAGGCTCCAGCTGGAATGGAATGGACATTGCATCAACATTAGGCCTATGGCCTACTTCTCAACTCGTCGCTTGGGAATCGAACTTGTTCACCCAAAAAGTCTCTCAAAAAGTTGTGGCCACGGTTGGCCACATTCACCACAAAACAGGCTGGCCTCTTTTGGGCGTGCTCTCACCTCGGAACGTCCGCTGTGCGCCACGGCCGGCACGGGTGCGCTCAGCTCCGCTGCCGCCCGCGACTCGCTCCGAGGCCGAGGCCGTTGGGAGCGGGTCCGGGGCTCGCTCCGGGGCTCACTCCGTCCTGGATACGGCCGGCACGGTGGGCGGAGTGGCACGCGGTGGGATGGTTGGTGACGGCATGATTCTGTTGTTTGTTTCCGTGAATCCTCCAAAGGAGCTTTGATCTTTAGAATGATCCGCCCAAGCATTATAGATCATAGACCTGATAATAGAAAAGTATGGAAAAGGAACGGAACATCCCCAATGACAGGTGGATTTTCCCAATGTCGATCCATCCTGACTCCCTCCAACACCACTTTGCTGCGACTCAAAAAAGCAGGCTCACATCTCCACCAAGCTGGCAAATTAAGACAAAACACACGCATGTCTGGATGCTCTTGTATAATCATTAAAATAATCACGCATTCTTCTCATGGCACAAAAAACTCGCGTCCTCTGGTTTCTTGGAGGTGCCGAGTACAGGGCCCATGAAGATGTTGCCGGCACCAGCCGCTGCAGATCCTGCCGACGACTCGGAACCCGGAAGGGAAGGATCAAGTTATATAAGTCTTTGAAGATGGCCGCGTCGTTTTGTGAATCATGTATAATTATAATCATGTTGAATCTCTTCTGGTTGGTTTCAACTCACATTGAGCGGGTTGAGTGTGTGTTTCAATCCATGTCTGAGATCTCCCAAGTTCAGTTTGTAAATATGGAAATAGTCTGAAACCGCATGAAACCACCCGGTCTTTCTCCCACATCTTCACGTAAAAAAAAAAGAAAGTCCTGATGCCAGCGACCGCAAATCGGCGAACAGTCCACTGGACAGTGTGGCCCAGTCCCTCGGCTCAACGGTCTGAGTCAGGACCCCAAAACATCCCAAGAACCAGCAGGCCAGGCGTCTTCTGGTCTGCGAAAAGGCCCGTTGCGCGCCAAAACGATAACTGTTGTGTCGATAAAAATAGAAAAGTAGAAATGTGTGATGTCTTTGATGAGAAAGTAAAAATCATTATTATGTATAAAAGGATAAAAACAACACACAAAACAAAAAAAACATGTCTATGTCCCTGGCTCACCAGTGGAGCTTTCCAGGCACAGCTCCTGCAAAACAAACTCCACCAGCAGCTAACGTCGTTGCATCTCTTTTCCCCATGGAGGTGTGGAGCGAATCAACATTGGAGTCATGACCTTAGAATAGAAGTGCATTTGCCACAAAAACGTTCTCCCCTCCTATCATCATTATCATCCAAAATAAGTATCTTCCAGCAAATGGTCATCTTTAATTCGACCACGTCCACTCCTGCGCAGCTCGGAGTCCAGACCTCACCGAGACTGGAGACTGCCCGATGGGGAGCGGCCCCGCGGCCCCGTCTTCAGAAATCTTAAGAGAAAAAACAGGG